TAACTGGTAAGTAAGAAGTAAGAGCTTATATAATACTTTCCATACAGTTGTTAATACGAATACAAAATTATAACTATTTAATACGTATTTAAAATTTTTACTTAATTTTTTTTTAATATTTAAGCTATTTATAGTACGTTGTAGAAATTTAATATCGCGTGTAAAAGAGACGATATTTTGTGTGTTGTATATTATAGAATATTCGGCCAATGTAATAACTAATAAGTAATAAGATATGAGTTCTGCATAGTTATGTTTAAGTTTTTATTATTACTACCTATTATATTATATTAAATAATTATGAAGGACATTTTTAAGATAATATTAAAGTACTTAATTTCAAATTTTTTCTTATTTCGATTCAAATAGTTAAAAATAAGTGATAATTACAAACAATATTATGATTGAAATTTAATTTAGTCAAATCTATCTAGTTTCTAGTTGTAAGATATGTTTTAACCTATAGGCTATAAGCAACTGTATGAGTCCATATCTGCCCTAACTTATGAGTCATATATCTTGAGTTCCATAAATTGTATTCTAGTTGTTGGTCTAAAACGACTACAACTAATTGAAGTTATGAATATAAAAAAGGATCATATTATACATAGCTAAACAAATATGAGAGAAAATAAAGTTTTGCGCTGTACTTGATTTGACTTTTGTGCTTTGAAATAGGTGTTTATACAGTACCTAAATTGTATCATATATTTTTGAGTTTAAAACCTAATACCTTGTTAACTGATTGACAGTTTACAATAGTGACCTACTTATACTTATGTAAGGTTAGGTTAGGTGTTAACTTTAGGTATCTAAATAGTAATGGAGTAATTATCTTTTTTTGCCATAACAATGATATAATAATATCTTTAAAACAATTAACATTTTTTCAACTTAAAATGTATAGGGTAATTAATGTAAAATTAAGTTAGGTTGAGTATTTGACAATATATACTACATGTTATGTATTCACTTTGTGTACCTATTAAAAAAAAAAAATGTTATTTTAATAAATGGAATTTAAAAAAAGTATTCTCTAAATATTAAAAGGAATTTTAAATTTATATCAATTTGAATTTATTTGTTGAAAATGTGCTCAAATAAATAAATAATTTAATATGTATTTTTTAGAATTAAAACTACAAAACAATGTAATTTTTAAAATATACTGCTTAGGAAGTTCTTTATAACTTTATTTAATTATTATGAAACCATTTTTAATATCAAAGAGAGTGTTGTATCTGCTATCTGTCATATAAATAATAAAAACATAATCTTTAATCCATTTTTCTTTTTGACACAATAAAAGGGGGTTTTAACTGTAAATAAATACATGTGCTTTTTCTATGCATTAAGTTTTTAATTCTTATATTTTTTTTCATCCGAATTCAAATATAGGTCTTCTCAAAATTGTCTTAATTACTTTATAAGTACTCACAGATGTATGTTTTAATTTTATCTTGCAAAGTAAAATAAAATAGATAATGGTTTGATATTTCTTGAAACATTTTTGAAGGATTTTCCTATACGGAAATTAATATAATAGGTACCCATATTGGTTGGTTAAATAAAATAATAAGACGAAATTATTATTTTGTGAAAAGACTAAAAAGTAAAAGGGTCAAGTCAAAGCCATTCATTGTAGATAGCTAAGAAATTCTTCTAAGAGTGTTTTTAAGAAGACTGAACTCAATATCCTTTGTTTAGTTTTCTATTACTAGGTGTAAATAACTTGAAAACATTTTGTAAAGTTAATAAAAATCGAGAGCTCATATTATATTTTTTATACAAACAGATAAAAGCATTTCAGAAATTGTTCTTATATTGTACTTTTATTATTTTATTACACTAAAATAAAAATAATATCTTGTTATTTTAAAATTGAATGTTGATATAAATAATAGTTGAAATAAATTGTTAAAAATTAAAAATTAAAAATATGAATTATGTTTGAATTGGAATATTTTATTATTTTGGAGTTTAATACTTAATATATCTATATGTGAGTAATTTATTGTAAGTTACTTATTCGTAGTTAAAATTAAAAATTTGAACTGGTTGAGTTAAACGATTAAACTAGGTATTCAATAATTGTATGTGCATTCATATAAAAATTATCCAAACAGGTAATTATCTAGCGACTAGCATAATCATAATACAATTTACTAGTTGAACTTTATTAACTTTGTGATGGATATTTTTCTTTTCTTCATCATATGGTGCTATTGATTGTTAGTAAGTCAAGTCAGCCCGAGTTCAGTCATCTAGTGACAGACATTTTTGATGCTTAATAATATATGTTTTTGCCATCCCGAGGGATCCCATATTGTGATATATTTTGTGGCTAAACCAACTTGCTCTGACAGAGTGACCCCTTGTGATCCAATCTGGTTCAAAATCACTGTTAGTTTAGTCCATTTGGCCATTCTTTAGTTGTGGTGTTTTTGACTAAAAATATGCCTAATAATTAAAATGTAATCATGCTAAAGGTCTTGGGTAATTTAGAAATAATTTTTGAATTCTTATTTTTAATGTTCAAATTTAATTATTTTGCTTTAAGTTTTAATGTAATAAGTAGGTAGTAAAAAAACCCAATATATAAGTTATTTAAGTAATTAAATAGCGTAGAGGTACTATAACTTAATTATTGTTGTGATGAGTTGTTCCGACTGTTTGCAATGTTTGCATACTATTTTAATTACATCTAAATAGTATTTATTTGGAAATTATTTATTAGCATAGTATTATATAATATTTAGTATTTGATGTAGGGCTTACATGTAGATTGTAGGGAGTGGTTTTTTTTAATATCTTATTATTATTTATCATATATTAATATCCAAAGTTATAGAAATAAATTACAAGATTACAAGCGAAACCTCATAGCCAATATAAGTCATACGATATGTCTAACTTAATTGGACAATATAAATTAATAATAATAAATTATAGATATGAATTAATTTAAAATATAGGGATGATAGAAGAAGGTGTACAAATTAACTATTGATATAGGTACAATGGTGGAAAGATTCGCTATCTTTATAATGTGCAGTAGAAATATGGAATAGATTGGGAGGTACGACAATTTTGAACTTTGAGAAGTATTTTGAGTAAAAGAGTTGGGTAGTTTGTTTTAACGTTCGGGATTGTATTATACATTTATATGGTTTTAATATCATATTGCAGTTAATACATCATCATCACTGGTATATATTCCACTTGAAAAATTTTTTAGAATGTGATGATTAATTGTTGTCGGATTAAAGTGTAACACAATGATAGAAGTAGGTACACGCCAAAACAATGAACACGTATTTTAATCACCATTGTTTTTCAAACTTGATTGAAACGAAACAAATAATTTTAAAAATATACGTTAAAGGTAGGTTTATAATAATTGTTTTTCATAGTTTTGTAATAAAATAAAGTTGAATAACATATTTTGGGTACATTTTTCGTAATTATAAGGTTAAAAAAAATATGTCAACGGATATATACGAGCAGAACTAGTTGCGTTAATCCGTTCAAATGTATAAATAAAAAAAAAAAATAATAAATTAGCTCTGTTGTATAATCTATTGTAATATAAAATATTATTGATTAGGTTAATCTTTGTATGAAATCTATTCTGAGCGAAGGAGATGAATGGGTTCTTATTTTAAGGGTAATTTATGTTATATTATTATGTTTCTTATTGTTATCGGTATTTTTTAAATTCCGAAATACTAAAGTCATCGCATATAATGATATGACTAATGCTAATAGTCAATACAGATATAGGTTGTCGTAGAATTGTGTTGACATAGGGTGGTGGTATATAAAGTTTAAAATAAGTCCAAATATTATGAAAAAAAAGTATCTATATATTTGATGTAATACTAATCTTAATATTTGGTGGAAATTTCAAGTTTTTAAAATTTAGATTTTTTCAATAATTGGTATTGCATAAATATTATTACTTTAACCGTTGCTATTGTTAGTTATTATTGATTATTGAGAAAAGTCCTTTTTTTAATAGTTATGACTGGAAGAAGTGGCCACTAGATCTACCGACTAAAATATCAACAAATTATGAGATTGAATCAATTTTTTTTGGTCTAAGGCACAATGACAGATACAACAAATCCGTTGTCACAATTATATTAAGTAAAAACCATAACATTGTCAACGTGTGAATTCTTAGTGGATACAATTTTGATACTGGCTTTTTTAACACTCTTTCTATTTCTATCGGCTAATAGCAAAACTGATTGCAAAACTCACATAACTACATAAGTACTTATACATACATGTAGTAAGAATATCCTGACTACAACAAATTGTGATGTCCATTTGGAGAGCCTACACATAATGATGGTCACACGAAGAGAAGAAATATATTTTTTCTTTGTAAATATTATGTATCTATTTACTTTTTAATCGCGTTATACTTATTAGATTTATCGTTAGTACGCCACTGGTACACCAGGCAGTTTCACAGCGGTATGTGGATGGTAATAATTATATGTAATGTATAATAATAATTTGACCTCCTGTTCGCGACCCCGAGTGGTATAAAACACACGGTGGTAGAATAGTAATAATCATAATAAAGTTATATCGTATAAACACAACATAACACTGGGTTACGGGTCGGTGGTCGCGCGTCGCGCACACTGTTGCGCGAACCACTTGTTTGATGCCGTAGCCAGGGCTGAGCGACGGCGGCGGCGCGCGGATATAATAATTGCGCGCGCGTCGTGGCCGTCGCCGTGACACGTCCCCCCTCCCCGTTCACCGACCGCTCGCCACCGCCACCGATGGCCACGAACCCAGTGGCCACGGCGCCGCTTCACTCGGAATACGGTGTTGAACTCTGCGTATACGCTCGCGCGCACCAGCACACGTAAAAAGGTATACGATGCCCACGAGCGCAGCCCGGAACCGTCGAAACCGCTGCGCCGCATAGGTTTATCTCGCCGCCGCCGCCGCGTTTACACGTACATCGCGTATATAGTAATACCATCACTCTGATAGTGCGTGTACGCTCCGCAACAGTATACTAACGGCAGTCGTCGGCGCCCGCGGCCCGTCACTCGCTCGCTACCGTCCGGCGCGCGAACACGCTTAGAACGCACGTGAGTGACCGCCCCCCATCCCACACCGGGCCGGCCACCACCCGCCGAACCGACCGACATTTGCACTCGACGTAGATTTTTTTTCGAGAATAAAAAAAAAATTTTTTTCGCTTTTTTTTTTCCCGCCACGCCGTCGCCTCCGCGCCGCTCAAACCCCAACGACTCCGACACTTGTCGCCGCCGCCACTCTATTCCGGTCGAAAACACCGCGAGATTGTTCCGTCGCCGTCGCGTTTTTTTTTTGTCTAATAATTTTTAATCGTTTGCTTTTATAACTTTGTCCGTTGGTACGTATCGTAGTCATTGTAGTCGTAGTACATTTTTTTGTTATATGTCTAAATATATCATCTTCAAATCTTAGTAAACATTCTCTTAACTCTAGTGTTTATTTTGTAATGCATAATAATTATACCGATAGTCATAGAACAGCCTCATGTAACAAAACTGAATAAACATAATATGTATTACTATATTATTAACTTGACTATTATTATAGGTTCTGTCAAAGAGCTCTTTGATATACACGAAACGAGAAAACAAGTCTTCTATAATATTAATATACATACTAATATGGAAACATCTAATTTAATATCTATTTTTTTTCTCTATATAGGTGTATACTTTATCAGCATCACGGTAAAATGTATTAATCACTGTAAATATAACTTTGGTATTTCATTAAAAAAATAAGCATTAAAGAATTATAATATATTGTCTTCCATTAGGTTTTCAAATACTTGGATTCAAAATGTATACCTTAGACTTAACCTATCTATCTATATATATATATATATATTATACAATTGAATTGAGGTAATATTTTACAATAAATTGGCTTGGTTTTTATGATGTCATATAACTATTCTAACTCGGTGAATCTAATTCAATTAACATGAGTGCAATTTCAGGTTTCCAATAAACACGAACTTAGTTTCTTCTAGCTCTCGAGTATTTCATATAGGATTGTACATTTCACGAGGATATACTTATTTTTTACAATATGTCTTTCTTACAATATCAACAATAACATGAGTCCTTAAAGTAATGACTAGTTTTTCATTTCAATTATAAAGTAAATATACATTGAAAAAAAAACAATGCTGTTCATTTTTTGATAAAACTTGAATACAATATAGTCTTTTAAAAATAAATTATCATAACTAAATAAATGTTGTGAACCTTTGATTCCATATAAAATATAAATTAAGATTAAAGTTATATTATAAAAATGAAGTGTTTTATTTAACGGATAGTATTGTAGCACTTCAAAGTTATACTATAATAACGGCAGCCATTTGGTAAATCATAACAATCCCTTGTATGGGTATAGTATTTTATGGACATGCCATATAGACACTATCCGCATTCAATGTAATAATATGAAATCGCCAGAAAGGTAGGAACTTATTAGTAAAAAATAATAATAGCTATTAAATGCGTAATGTTGTAGAATTGAATTTTCATTTATACTTTGATCAATTCAGAAAAAAAATGTATCGTTATAGCCTATAGGTACATCCGATTTTTACGCTTTATATTCAATACTATAATTATAATCACACGTTTTTTTTAGCATATAAATTGGATGCAATGGGAGGTTTTTAGAGGTAATGAAATTCCAGCAGCAAATTTTTCAAAAACTTTTCATGTGTTATTTTTTAATCATTACACTTTAACACATGATAGGTTATAAAATAAAAATTAAGGTTCCAATAGGGCTCATTATAACAAATAAAATAAAAATGCAATAAATACAAAAATAGAAGACATGTAAAAAACATACACACACACATTACTTGTTTTATTTAATACTTCAAATCAGATCCCCGTAAATATATTTTGTACCGGTTTAATAACTAAACACATTTTATTTAACAGGGTATATTTTACATCCATAATATCTTTAAGTTTTTTAAAATATTTTTAGACACTAACGAAGAGGTCATAGTGTTAGCCGATACAATTATAATATCTAAACTATTTCAAATTATACTAAAATAGTTGGCGGAGATTAGTTGTATAATATTAATTGATGAGTTATTAGCTATTTACTACGATTTTGTTGAAGGTGCGAGATTTTCATGTGGAGTTACTGAAAGTTATAGTGTTTTATTTCGGTATATCGTCGGCATCAATGAAGTATGTGTTTGACTATGATGAGTGTACGGCAGACTGTCATAGAAGTGAACCTTCCTCGGCCACGAGGTGTTCGTGTGTGAGGAGAGTGTCACCTAGGTATTTTAAGTCGATTGATTTTAACCACGTATTTTTTGAATATTATGATTGATTTGGGATTTGGGTGCCCAGGTAGTATAAGCCATTTGATATCTTTAAATGTATTACTTTGTTAATTAAACTATTAGTTTTTTCATTCAATAATGTGATTGGATCTATTGTATTTAATTTTATGAATCGTGGTTTTCTTTACAGAGGCATTAATCAGCTAAATGGTTAACAGTACTTTATTTGGCTTTTTGGTTAGCGTCTTAATTTTCTATTATGACTAAATGTCTAGGAATCCTTTCAAAAGATATTCTATGTTTGCGATCGTTTATTTCATTGATTGTTTGAACGATAATTATTGGTTGTTTTTTTTTTAATTGTATAGGAATTTGTATATCCTGATGAGAACTATTACGGAACCGGATATCATTAAATATTTCTTATCATCGTTAAGTTGAGTGCTTTGGATGGTTTTGAGAATTTCTAAGGCTTCTAATGTAAAAATATTACGGTCACTATTTGTTTGATATTTAATATCCCTATCATTTGATATTAAAGCTATTGTAGATTTTCGTCTGATTTTTGAAACTTCAATAAATATCTACTGTCCAAAATTCTTACATGAGTGAGGTAGTTCACGAAAAAAGCTTTTATAAAATGATTCTATCCGTTCTAAAATATACCTTTATTAAAAGATAATAAATATTCATTGTTAATGATTGAGGAGTAGCATAATTCAATCTTAAAACAAAATTTAATATAAATACAAATAGTTGTATAGTATAGTTTAATTATGCATTAATAGAATTATAAATACCAAATATTTTTAAACATAAAATAAATAAGTAGTTTAAGTAGTTCAATATTTATATAAACGAGTATTAATTGTATATTATTGTATAAAGGAGATGAAAATCGTTATGTTTTTTTTACGAATTATACATTTTTCACTTTTATGGGTAATAATAGATTTGATTGGTATACATTAGGTTTATAATTTATATTGAAGATATATTATAACATTTTTTTCATGTATGTTTTGTTTGTTTATTGTTGCTTTAATTTAGCACCGTTTGTGCAGTTAAATATAAAACATGCTTTAAATTAAAACGGTGCAGTCTATAAAGTTATTATAAACTCGTATTTAAGTCAATATTCATTAAACTTAAGTTATTACACTTTTATTGTTATAACTTTAAACAATAAAAGAAGCATTGTTTTATGAATTAAATATAATAAATAATATTTTTTGTTTTAAATAAATTGAAACTACAATTAATACAGTATTATACTTCATATATAGGTAGTCGTAACATCGCATTGTATTATTTTGATATAACAAAACACTGAACTGAAATAGTTTGTTATGAATGAATATTAATAAATAGTTAAGTTACATTTGAAATATCTGAAAAAACTCAACTTTGTTATTGGAAAATCTCGAAATTTAGAATATGAGTATTATATTCATATAGTACATTATGTACTCATTGTTCAATACCAAAGATGGATAAATGTTATTAAAAAATAAGCTATTTAACTGTACGATAATACTGTGTTATGTAGTTAAACTTGTCTTTACTTACATTTAACTAATTATTTATTTAATAATGCAGTTTAACTGTATTGATGTTATTCAAATATCACTCAATTTAATAAAATTATATTTCATTCAAAACTCTTAAAATAGTATGAAGTTTGTTATCACTAATATTTCAAGCTCAACAAATAAACAACTAAGAAGATCGATTTATTGAAATAAAAATAAACTTTGGTTCCGCTTACAATTCGTGGAAAAACTTTTATTTGAATCTGACATTCGTTATAACGTGATTTGAACCAAAGAGGTTTTTGTATTATTTGGTTTGCAAAAGTTAAGTGGATTGTGTGTATTATCACTGAAAATGTTTACAGCTCTTTTTATTGCATAAAAATATTTTTATGTAATATATTATAAAATTGAGTTGAATATAAACTTATTTCAAAAACAAAAAGGTACAATAAACAATAAATTTAAGAAAATATTTATAGTTAATGATTATAATGTTCACTGTTAAATAATTATTCGAATACAATAATTGTTAATTGTAGTATATTTGAAATACATTTTATTAAAATTTAAAATGACTAAATTATTTTGCACTTTATGTTGGATACTTAAATAATAGATGTTCTAGCCTCTAGGTATAATGTACACATTTATACTTCTAATTATTATGTACAGTATACATATATAGCATTATATACTTAATATTAATTTATTCAAATTCTATTATATATTCTAAAATCTAATGTTTTAATAGAAAAGTGTATATAAGATATGTGTACCGGCTAATAACCTCGCAGTTGATGCCATTAACAATTAATAAAAAAAAAAAAAAAGATATGTGTATTAAGATACATTTAAGTGCATTTCTTTTAAAATAGTCCACTCTTCAAACCCTAAATCAAGGATATCAATTCACCATCAATTTTATTTTTAAATAAAAAATTCAAATAATACGAACACAATTAGAAAAATGTATGATATTATATTTTTAGGTATTGCCTATTCATTACTGGTAACAAATTATATTTAAAATTATTAGCTGCATTTATTAATATATTTATTTGAATAATTAATTTACTATAAACTAATAAATAATTGGAAATTAAAATGTCCCTATACCTATATGACTTATACTTACATCATCTTATATTGTATGAGAAGTCACGTGTTATAGTATTCTTGATTATTTTTCTATTCCGTTCAAATAAAAAGTTTTGTTTTTCTATTTTTATTACTTCGAATGAAATCTAGATTTTGTTTCAATACAAAGATTTTCAGCATTGTTTCGTAAGTGGTTATCTTCCAGGGTATTCCCTTAGGCATACTTCTTATTCATTGAAATAAATAAAATGAAATACGATGTTAAAGATGTTGAGTAAAATACAAAACTTGGTGCTTAGATACGTCATAGTTTAATAGTTTTTTGGGAACAAGGATTTTTGTTCTTAACATTATTTAATTTAATTAGACTAAAATTCGTTATTATATTGTATTAAACATTAAAATATAAGTACAATGAAGTATTGTTTTCATCTAGATTATTCAAAGTAACATAATAATGAACGTTATTAGACACCAATCGGAAATCAATATATTTTAGTGATTTATTTGTTGTATACTTGTATAGATAGATACATTGTTAATTTATAGCGATGAATGCTGTCAATTTTAATATTTATAATTAGAATAAAACTACCTACAACCTATATAATATAATTATTTATACATATATAATAAAACAATTTTCTGAATATGGACATTGAAATAGTACAGGATCGCATATATTTTTACTTTTTATAATAAGAAAATATGGTTGACGATTACTAGTTTATCGTTTCATATAAGTATTATTAAAAGCTATGCAGTATATTTTATACGCCTGTTATAAGTATTTATTGTATTTTTAGATTTGAAATAAGGATAATGGTTATGGATAAACATTTTAATAAAGATGTTGAAGATAGTATCATATAATAAATAATCGTGCGTTATTGTGATGATATAAATATATTTGTTATCATTATATATTATTTTTAGTCTCCAAAATGTTTATGCACTATAGATTAAAAATTAAAAATAAATAAAATATAATATTACACAAATAATGATTGTTCATAATAATGATATCAATACTTTATCAACATGTTCATATAGAATTAAATATGTATAAAAATATAAATATACGATTTTCACATTTACACATTTCTATATGCTATTACAATATAGGGATGTATTCAAGTCAATTAGTTTGAGTTCTGATTTATATAAATAAAATAACCTATATTATTAATATACAAACATAATACTTTCAAGATTCTTAATATTAAATAAAATAAATTTATATACATTTATACAGTGAGTGGAATTAATATCCTAGTTTATTTCAAACCATTTTGGCAGCAGCATTCTTTTTATATTATTATAAAAGTCCCATAGAAATTATTTATTATTCTGAGATATAAAGACGTATCTAAGTAATCGTCCCATGTTATATAGACCATATACGTATGAAATAAACTTTATAATAATATAAAGTTTCGAGCTTTTATTTGTGTAAAAAAATAACATGTCAGTATTTATATTTTAAAAAATATTTATAATTATCATAATATTCCATTAAATACGGTTGAGATATTAACAGCTAATTTCATATTTTTTAAATTAATATTTTAAGATATATTATGTAATATTTTTTCTAAATAACATACATTGAGTTATGATTTTAACTCAATTTTTTAGCATACTTTTGTATAACTAATGTTATTAATTACATAATATAGTATTATTATAGTTTATTTGAGTACTCTGGTTATAAGCATTTTTCGTAATATTAAAATAATCGGTCCCCAAAAAAATAAATGGTTAACACTTTTACAATATATGTAACTATTTAACTATTTAATATGTTTTCTCGCGAGGATTACAATACTATTATATAATTAAAAAAAAGAAAATATTCGTTTTTTAAAAAATATATAATATACTTAGATTCATTATAAGGAAATAAATAATTTCAGTTGAAAAAAATATTTAAATTTTAATTGATGATGATATATTTACTTCGCTTTACCATGAACTGTTCTACAATTCATATGATTGTAGGGTTAAATAATAATCATAAGTCAAAAAAATTGAATACGGTAGAATAAAAGTTCTTATTATATTATCAATTTATATTAGGTAAATTAAATTATTATAGCTCAGGGATAAAAAAAATAATACACTTTTACAGTAATATATGTATTTGAAAAGATGAGGGATAATAATAAATAACCTGCATTTTTAAGAAACCTTTTCAACTATATTGTTGTGCAAACTTAGGTGTGTTCTCAACTAAATTATGCAGTCAAAATTAGTTAATTACAACGTACCGATTGCCCAAATTTTTCAATTATTTATTATTTATTTTTGTAATTAACGCTAGATGGAAATCTTGATAAGGCGCTTATAGGAAATACAAAACCTACTTTAGAAGTTAAAGTATAACAGATGTGTTTAATATTAATAAATTAAATATCTAAAAATATGAAAAGAATGACCAAGAACCTAATTAAAGTTTAATATAAATTATCTGAATAGTTTGCTAGACATATTGTATGAATAGGATAATTATTGTATCCATATTCAGTTGTATGAGTAAGTACAGTGAATAGCTGATGATTTCCAACGTTGTAAAGATACAGATAAGGAAATAATCATGAGGAGGATGCTCTATTTTAAAAACCAAAGGGACTTAAGGCGAACATTTGTTTTCGTCACACTGTGATCTTAATTTATTTTTTTCTTCGCAAGATATGATTGTAAAACTACTTCACTGTATTCAAAAATGGATCAAACCAAAGCTGAATGTTTAAGAGCAGGTAGCAGAGGTATCCAAACGTTTGGATAATTGGCTTGGTGAAACTAAATTCTTTGAAAGATATACAACCAGTAGTGTTTATCTGCTTATCAAAATGTGGAGAAGAAATTATGATGATTCCTAGGTCATTGATGTAGGTCGTTTGTCGAAGTAAAGTATCATTTAAGAAGTAATTATACTGAAATGAGCATACAATTCTGATGAAAGACATTACATTGAATTTTACCATGGTAAGGTTAGACGCTTAATAAATAGCACGTGAAGCAACTTTCGTGAAGATCTAATTTTGTCGGTGAATAAAATCATTTTTTCCTCGATCACCCACTTTCGATCGAGTAAGTAAAATGGTTGAAGAGAAGACTTAGATGGCTTAATTGAGAAATGTAGGAAAAAATCTCACAGGTATCAGGAGCTGATTCATTTAATCTTAAAAATTCAGTTTTGGAGGAAGTGCAGGAGTTTATACAAAACAGAAGAAGTTTTTCAATGATATGAGTTTCGAGCTATACTTAAGTAGTTGAGTAGAAGGCCATGTCATCTGTATCAAACGATTTCTATAAGTCGCTAAAAATCGCGCCCTTTGTTCACCTGAAGTTTGAAATCTAAACTATCTAATTATTATTATGTGAATACAATGGTACTCTCAAAGACTCAACAGTAGAATTTCCTGTTCGAAATCCGTATACCTTGGGTAAATACTAAATGGGTAAGGATGGAAATGGAAACAAACATTGGAAGGGTCTATTTATTTAAGAATATAAGTCACAACTAAAAAAAAATAATAATACGATAATCAAAATTGAATTTGTCACCTTAAGATTAACTTTCTTCACTCGTACAATTTTTATGTAAATGGTAAAATAAAAATGTAAAATATTGATGTTAATTTAATTGTTTGGTGGTTACAAGGAAAGTAATGATAATATAAATGTCATAATTAATAGTAAACATAAAGAAGGCAAATTAATAAATCTCACCAAATAAATTAACTGCCTGAGTCTGATAGGATATATAATAAAAGTATTTTATGAATAAAATATAAAATAATCTGTATAATTATTTAGCGTATTAAACAATTAGAGTACAAATGTACAATACATAATATGTACTATATGATTGAGGAAGTCACCTATTCATGATATACCTGAAGATATAGTTGTATATTACATTTATATTTTACACAAATTATCAATATTTTATAATTTTATAAATATTACGTTTGTTAGTACTCATTTATGTGTTAAAATATTTTGTGAAGAAAAATATATAGGTCTGATAAAATATTTATTTTTTACATAATCTGTTATTTGTTTTAGGCGATAACGAAACTTGTTAACCTTTAATCAACTCGAGTTATTTGAAAAACACCAATGTGCATGGTAAGTGATAAAATAAATGAAATTTATAAATTACAAAATATTATGTACCTATAGGTATGATAACACTTTTGATTCTTGCATGACATTTTTTTAATTTCATAATCTGAAGTGGATGCATTTTTTTAATATGTTGATGTTTAAATATTGAAAGTGGAACGAATAGTTTTCTTATATTCATAGCATTTATATTTCTTGTAAGATAAGTGAAGTTTCAAGAGGTGATATTTGTTATGCGCTTTTCCTTACATCAACATTGTTAATACTTAGGTATCTACTAGTCTACTAATCTACTTATTCTAAACAAATTATTCTTTCAACATTCAATATTTATAAAATATTGATATTTAAATGCGTGTTCTGAATTAAATTACAATTTGAATACTTTATGTAATTAAAAATGTAGGACACAGTACACAACTATATAAAGTTGAAAGTGAATCCATCAAAATACATCATAACTGTGAAAAAATGTATTAGTTATATACAATTAATATATGCAATCTTAGAATTACACAGGTCTTACATTTACCAAATGTATAATAGAATTATTATTATTATTACATGTGGTATACTTTTGGTGTAGATGATATTTAGAAAACAAACAACAACACAAAGTAGAGTAATTATTAGGTATCTAAAAAATGAAAATAAACAAATAAAATGACTAAATAGTATTTATTTTATTTATTTATATTACAGAATTGTTGATTCTTTTGCAGAATTTTTAAAATGTTTTTTCATACCTACTACGTTATACTATATATTATGTTGAACAGCTTAATCCTGAAATATTATTGATCCTTAAATATTCTATAAGATAAATTACCTATTGTAGATTATACATTTTCAGATTTGTAATAAGAGAATTTTAATCTGAACTGATGCATAAGATAGAAACGTTCTTGCTCTGTCATATGTATTCATAATACGACAAAAGATTAACGAACTACATTTGTCATATCGTAGAAACCTATTCATTACAATGCCACAATTAATATGTACATTAATAATAATTTATTCAGTCTCGATAAAAGTTCATCTATTTATGGTTTTTTTTTTTATCTAATATCGTGTAACTATTGTATAATAGATATTTCAAGTTCAGACCAAGTGATAAAAAAAAGGTTAGGTATATTAATTAAATTTTTTACTGTAAACTGCTTTTGAACCATATTTTTAAAATGTATTAATAGTCAGAACATTATTTTCTCCTATAAGTAATTTTTTTTTTTTAAATCCTTAAAAATCCTTTAAAAAATTGATTCAAAGCTCATGGATCTATTCATTTTAATAACGATCTATTTATATTTTATTTATTTATTTATTCATCGTATAGCTACTAACCATTACACTAATTTCACACACAACATCAATACAGTAAAATAAATATATGTTAATACAAATATAAATATAACAATTTATAAAAAGCATTATTATTCCCAAAACTATTATTATTACTTTATAATACCAATCTTATAACATACATTATTTAAACCTGAACCTTAAGTTGTTATGTTACTCGAATAAGATCAAAAGATACATTTTAAAGTTATGTTTTATTAAGTAGATTGAATATTTACGTGAGTTTATATTTTACAAGACAAAAAGTACAGTGATATAAATAAATACCTTTATACTTTTACTAAATTCCATGAAAATTAATTTAGAATAAAATGTATGACGCATTATATATGATTATTTTTCTTTATTGAACTTGAAAACATAATTCATTTTTGATTTTAAATCATATTACATAACATAAAAGTTGGCTAGGTATTAATGGTAACAATCATAATAATATAATAATCATAAATTCATAGTTAAGTTTATTAAATATACAAATACATACAGTAATATTATTGTACAGCAACTTTTGCTAAATTTATGTTATTATATAAGTTAGTTTCTTTTATGGAGGTTATATTTGTGATGTTTTGATGTTCATTCATAACTTCTAATATTTGGTTTATGTTGGGTGGGATGTTATATTTGTTGTGGTCTTTGATGTATCATTGATATCACTCTATTTGTATATATACAACTGTCAACATAAGCTCACAGGTTGTGCTTTGGAGAAATTCCTCATTGGCTATTAGTTGTGTTAACCTTAATTGCTTTTATGGCTATTCGGAGACGATTAATTAATTTTTTTCTCTTCTGTTTAGATTTGGATTTTACCAATCATGAATTTCATGATTATTTTAAAGTTCATAATATTTACATAAAATAAAATAATTGATTATCTACAAGTAAATATAATAATATAAAGTATAACTTTTGGTATATTATATTTATGGGAAAAAAGTAATTTAAAATGTATAATGTTTATAAATTAAAAATAAAATTAATTTAATTTTTACTTGAGCTGGACTTTTTTAGTTAAAAAAGATCTAAGCTTTAGACACAACAATATAACAATATTTTCTTTGTTCCGGACTTATTGAGGTCTATTACATTAGCATCCAATATTTAAGTCATAATAAAAAATATTTTAATACAGTAGTACTTATACCTAGTGGCCAGTACTTGTAATTTAGGTATATAACCATGTGTCTATAAGTTTATATTGTATTCACATTGTTATGTTGTAAGCTTTTTTTTAATTATGCATTTACAAAACATTTAACTATAAATATAGTCAGATAGATTACCCTATGTCCTTTTGGCCTCCACTCAACTGCCAATGCACATAATCGATTGACCGTCGTACGCCACCTACAAGTTTTATTATCTTCCGTGTTCCGGCAATCGATATGCATGCCTGCTTGTGACTTTTAGCAACCACCGCATAGCAGATTTCACCTGTATACGGTGCGCAACAGTTTCTCGACTTTCATCCTCGTTACATTTAAATACAAATGCAACATTGGAAAACATCGTTGGTATTCTGTCATTTCATATATTTTCAATTTGAATAGTTTGTTTTCTATATTATGCAGAGATTACTGCTTCAGTATATTTATATATTTTGAGTATATTATACGTTACTAACCTACACTCTAACCTTACACACATCTGAAGTTGAGTTTATTTCTTATACTTGGGTATGAATAACAATTTAAATAATTAAACAACATTGATATTTAAATCAGCACTTTAGACTTTTGTGTTATGTTATCACGAAATATGATACATTTTATAAATATATGATTTTTTGAATGTGAGTATTAGTAATAGTTCAATTATATATTGCATATTAACCGAGACATTGAATTGATTCGAGTTCGACAGTAGTACATAGTAGTATTATCACTATAGTAGGCACTAGGCATGCACTATCGGTACATATAAAGTTGTTAAGTACCTAATAACCAACAAAAATTAAAAATAGGAATGAAACATGAGATAACAGTTATTAAAATAACTGAATTTGAGAATGTATGAATAATAGTGCCATTTTTTGAGATTGGAAAATTAGATACAATACACGAGTGTGTAAATTAATTTTCACTGTGTGAAATAATTGTTATAATTTAAATATAACAAAGTACCCAGTAACTATATTTTTTGTTTTCCTTTTAAATCATTAAGCTATCAATCACTGCCTAATGAGGTAGTACTTGATTGTTAGATTCAATACTCTCCGTTCTTATTCTACCATTTATCTTGGTAAATAATAGATAAATGATGGTAAGTATTTTTGACTGAAAATGTAATTTAATTTATTGGATATATTCAGTATGTGTGCCGTGTGGGTTAGATTAAACAGACGATGATTACTAGAAATAGCAATGGTTATTTGAAAAATATTTAATGCAGTGAGTAAAGAGATTAGTTACTTTTCAACTAATTTACTTACTATAGTATTTTTTTTTTTAATATCATGTTAAAATGGGTTCACTAATAAGTTTTAATTTCAGTATAATTACAGCCCCACTATAAAACTGTACTTGCTGCAAAATGTTCTAACTAATAAAAAGAAAAAACAAATTAAAGACCTTCTGAAAATATGTGAAATAATTCCGTGCTTCTTTATTCCGACAAAGACGTGCAGACAATAGTTGATTATCAACACAGATAACTATTTTAATTGGATTTCTAAAGAAATACCAACCACAATATTAATGGCGATCCGTTTAAGATCAAAATAATCGTATATGATGAAATATTACTTAGATTACAACTTTATTGAAAACATTAATCAATACAAGAAATGTTGTGGACTTTGATAGAAGAATAAAAATTAGACAAATAATTATATTTTAAATTGTGGAAGATTGCTTGTGATAATAATAATATGTCCCTTTATATTTCGATAAAAAAAGATTAATAACTACGATTATATTTAATTTATTTAGTATGATAATTTTTTTATCCCTATCACTACGACGGTCAAATAATATTATTCTATTAATATTATAAACACCCTAATAATGAATAGTGATTAGCAAAACAGCTGGCCATCATTATCTATTCTCATAGTCACAACCACTGTGTCGAGAGTACCTAATATATTAAGCAGGAACCATATTATTATTATTTTAATGCATTTCTTGGAACTAACACAACGGCAGGACCGTAACATACGCAATACGCATGTATTAATATTATCGCTGTATTGGATATGACGCAATGATATGGCTGTGGTAAAACTTGGTGCAGGTGTAGCCGGTGTAGGAACATCATATTTATGGGAGAATCAGACCTAGGTGCATTATCCGACTGTGGTAGCTTGAATTCGATGCTCAGGCACATGTTTTGTGTCCGTTCACTCATAAAAAAGTATTAAATTATGTGCAAACTTTGAGTGTTTCGTTGTTTGTCACCTCTGTGGTTCAACTCAATATGCTTGTATCACTCAACAATAAGGAAACAAATTAATAAAATATGCGAAAAAAAATATGAAAATCGGCCTATAATGTAATTCCTTTAGTTAACAGTATACTATCGGTAGTACTCAATAGATATTAATTATACCTATTAATTTATAATGATGGTTTTCAATTTTATTTTTTGGGAGGTAGGTATATTTTAGGATTTTTAACGTTTGTAAGGTGAGT